GCTACTTTAAGCCTCACATTAGCAACTTCTTCACAAAATATAATTTAAAATAGAAAATAACACATTTTTCACTTAAAAAAATTAACAAAAAAAAAAAGTTAAACATTATTGAAAAATTTAAATAGTATCTTCCCGCTTTAAAAAATAATCAAAGAAGAATAAATAAATGAAATAAAATTTAAAAAAAAAAGCGTAATACAACCAGCCCATAAGTCCCCCCCCCCTTACCCTTCTCCTTACCTCAATGATCTAATCTGAATTATTACAGATAAAAAGAATATTCATTGAAACAGCGAGAAGCATTCATGCTGCCCAGAAAGCGAGAGGGGAAATATCCCTACAGATTTTCCCTATGAAGGTACCTTTTTTACCGGGACCTTTTTTACCGTACCTTTTTTTCCGGGACATTTTTTTCCGTCTACCCCTCAACCCAACGAGTGAAACGGTCGATCATTGTCAAACAATACGAATAACCGCGAGAAGGTGGAAGGGGTCCTACAATATCTATATGTATACAGTGCCGTTCCTGGCGGGTATGCAGCGAATGCCCCGCACGCAGGCGCCCAATTTAAGGGGCGCCAAATTCAACTATTCGAAAAAAATCAAATTATAGCAAATTATTAAAAATCAAATTATAGCAAAGCTGTAAACTTTGATTACAGGAAGAAACAGTAAACTAATATAAGAAGTAACTTCTACACTTTGCTTCTACACTGGAATTTACATGCAAAAAATCTGTTGTCGGCTTACGGACGGCGGCATATCTTCAAAGGATGCCGCTCGCCTTTGGCGGCTCGCTCGACAAATAATATACATGTTATTGTTTTTTATGCATTTATCGGCGGCGTCGCGGCGTGTGCCTCAGAGAGGTCGTAGGTGCAAAAAATATTATTTTCTGAAAAGTTCTCCAAAAAAAACTTTTTTTCGGCTCCAGAATTTTCCACCAGATTTTAGCGGTGATATAAAACAGGAGAATGTGGCTTGTTTCAGTCAGTCAGTTCAGTCATCGAGTATTCGTCGGTGAATTTTGAAGATTAATAATAATTTCATTTGAATATAATATTACGTGTTGCCGTTGTGTTGCTGATTTTAAATCTTAAGGTAAGAGAAGATGAAAGAAAATGTGTTATTAATATTGGTATCATAAAACTGTTTTTCAACGTTAAAGTTATATTTTAAGAACTAAGAACAATTTTTTTAAAATTTTCTCTTTTTTTTATTAACTTTTTCTTCTTATCATGAAGGGCGTTTCTAAAGAATTGTATTCGTTTATCGTCAGTTTTCTCTGAAAATTT